ATGATATTTGAATGCAATGAAAGTATAGATGTTGTGAAGTGAATTGGTGAGAAAAGCAGACCCAAACACCCCTTTTTATAGTGCAAAATTAGGCTCCAACGGACCAATGCATTAAAGGAGTGATTAGCTTGATTTATGGGATTGAAAAGATTTGGGATCTGCAGAATATTGGCTTCCCATCGATGTTTAGAATCAACCATCGCTGGTAAGCCAATTTTTCTTCTGTTTTGAAGTCAACGGTCACCTACCCATCGATGGGTACAAGCTTCCCATCGCTGGGTGGGAGGTTGACTTCCAAACAAGGAAAGAATCAACCTTTAATGACCACCAACGGTCATGCCTTCCCATCGATGGTATACCCTTACCATCGCTGGGTTCCCATCGATGGGATAGACTTCCCATCGCTGGGCAAGGTCGTTCTGCCTTGTGGTAATTTTGCACCAAGGCTCTAACAGCGATGGGTGGAACTCCCCATCGCTGTTTGGCATGGTTCTGGAAACTGGTTTGGCTGAGGAGCCGCTTACCCATCGATGGAAAGATCTTCCCATCGCTGGGTGAGTGGTTAGTCAAGAACCCATGGTTTTTGCCTTAACCACGGCCTAGCCAACCGATGCGAAACCCGACCGAAAAATTCAAAGTTCTCCAAAATAAAAACCAAGTGTTTAAAACACTTATTTGATGTATTTGGCTAATAAATCGAGTAAGACACTTTAAAAACCATGTCATTTAAGTGAAAACCACGGCTAGCCAAGTTTTATGCCGTTTTGAATGATTTTTGTCAAACGATCAAAAGCGAAAGATGGTTTTCAAGGTGTTTTTGTTGGAGAACCGTTTAAACATGCCAAAGAGTAAAAAACAATCATAAAAAGTTGAAAACCAATTGGTTGGTTCGGACGCCAAAAACCATAGCCGATAACCGAGAGCCGAACGCCAGTTTCTGAAACCCGAATGCCGGATGGCTTGGTTTTTGGTTTGGGCGAACACCAAGTGTTTTTAATGACTTAAACATGTTTGAAAAGCATTTTTATGATTTAAGAAGTGCAATGAAGGTTTTTAGCCTAAAGAGCCAAGGTGTAAAAATTGGGTCGGTCTTGATCACAATGAAGACCGACTCAACGACACTAAGACTAAGGTCTTCGTTCTTGGTCTTCTTTTAGCTCTTGTTCTTTTCTTCCTTCTTCGCCTTGTATATTCAAAGTTTGACTTGATCACGGCGGTTTGGCATTATCAAAACCTGTCATAAAAACAAACACGGCTTTAGTACGAAAATGTGACATGCCCGTGTTTCAACAATTTCCCCCTTTTGATAATGGCAAACGAGATGAGGTTATGCATATGAGGAAGTCTTTGAGATTTTAAAAAAAGTGTTCCCCCTTAATAGATGCCATTTTATTTAAAATAATTCCCCCTCAATTTATGCATACCTTGATATCTTCCCCCTTTTGACATTAACAAAAAGAATTAAAAGTGAATTTTGGAGTATAAAAGTAAACTTTTATTCATGAAAAAAGGAGAAAATGCGGAATACAACGGAATGGAAATAATAATAAAAAAACAATCATAGGAAGGAAGGAAAAGAAAGAAGAGTTTAGGCAGCGGCGTCTTCGTCCTCGGCGTCATCGTCTTCTTCGTCGTCCTCAACGTCCATGGGATCCCCGTCGACCGCGTCCTCAAAGTCGGCCTTGTCGGGGGAGGAGGATGGAGCATAGGAGTTATCCTCCTCGTCCTCGCCTTCATAGTTTTGGCCGAGGAAGGTGCTGTCAAAGGGCGGCGGGACGTAGTTGATGCCGCGGAAGAACGCCGTCATGTCATGGTGTTGGCGTTGCAGCGTCCAGTCCATCCGCTCGATTGACTGCCCCATGCCATCCACTGTGAGGGTTAGC